GGAATAAATGACGCTGCTGAAGACGTGTCACCTGAAAAAGCCACTATTGGAGAGGAAACTCTACACGGTTTTGAGGGGAAAAACAATGAAGCTGTTAATTAAGTTACTACCACTGATGTGACTGTTACCGGTAATAGGAAATTTCCTGATGGAGCAGATGAGCCCCATGTGAAGCAGTAGCCAATGAGACGGAGACCAGTACAGAAGAAGATACATCCTGTAAAATTGAGAGACTTTGTTGAATTTTAATTTTGTGTTTGTAAATTCTGTACATTTGATTAAGTTATTGTTAATTATCTATTGATTTAATGTAAGTGGCTATTGTTTGGGATGAACAATACATTCGTCAGTGTTATGATGCTGGGAGCATGTGCATTGGAGTTTCTAGAAGGATCGTGACTTATCGGGCAACCTCACGAATGTCCCAGCATTTGCTAGACGCCCTCTTTTTTAGTATATAAGCCAGAGATAGATTGAAGAGAAATAATTGATAATTGAGTCAAGCGAATAGAGGCACCGTAAGGAAAGTGTGTGAATTGCTGTGAATTATAGCGCGCGTTTATAAAAGAAGATAAGCTTAAAGTGAGTGTGGAAATTAAGTGTGTTACAAAGTTTGTAATGAGAAAGAATAAACTAGTTTTAATCAAGAAGGGACTTGAAGTCACTCGGAAAGAATTTTTACCCAAAATTATCAAACAAGCAGATACGCAACAATATTAATTTTTCCCTTCACAACTTAACAACCAAATTTTCAATGTTAGAATCACATTAAGTTTACAAAAAGGTGTATGTGGTTACAATACATACTGTCTAATGTTAATGTACTGAAAAAAACTTCCATATACATACTAGGCTCTACTTCCCACTTCACAGACAATAAAAACCACCTCTTCATCAGCAAATTTCAATGCTTCTTCAATAACAGGTTCCGCTGAAAGGATGTTAAAAGATATATGTTACAATGACTTTAAATATGTTCCCCTCTATCAAAAAAGTATGCAAAATTCTCTTTTCTTGTCAAAAGTCCACATGGGCTGATTCAATTATATTAGAATCCAAATGACAAGGTGACTTGCCCATTATGGCTAAACTAACAATCACACAGCCTAACTTCACTTCCAATAACACAATGTTTTCTGACTTAATTTTTTCTTATTTAACTTCTTTAGAAAGCACCCATCATGCCAATCACTCAGTCTAGATCTGTCTAATTATCTCTCACTTAACTTGTTTTCTTCTACCTGCATATATTTATAGCACATGCCATAAAATACTAGAAATCCTTAGCCCTCTAGTAGCAACAATATTATACATAACTAGAACAACTTGGAAACTTTGAGTAAGATGATGTCAAAAATATTACTAAAGCCTAGTACAACAATTAAACTGCATACACAACATATGACTCGTACTGAGTTATGTTATGAAACTTCTCATAACTATCGCTTTTAAAATAATTAACTTTAAACACTCTTGTTATGAAAGCTAAAGGTCCACCTTTCAAAAGTGCTCAGGCTATAGAGTTTTTATCATTTAAAAAACTCATATTTCAAAAGATAAAGGAAGTTAATTTGTCCACAACAGGACAAATTAAATGAGATGACACACATGTACAGTATTATTTTACTTCTGATTTATCACATTTTGCCAGAAGTTATCAGTGCTCATTCAATGAAACTTGTCAAAACTATCACATTTAAAATAATTAACTTTAAACACTCTTGTTATGAAAACTAAATAATCATTAAATTTTAAATCACTAAATGAACTAAATAATAATTCTTACACTAAACAACAATAAGCCCTCTTTAAGAAAAATATTAACATTATTGTCATGATATAAAAGATTGTTTGATTTAAATATTAGTGATTAATGTATATTTGTGAGTGAATATTTTATTATTTTTAAGTTTTGTTATAAAAAG